CAAGTCCATTGTAGATCAAAATCAACTTGTACCCAAGAAATATGCAGCCTCACACTGATATGTAAATACCCATTCATTTGGGTAGGGATGGCAAGTATTTATTACTGGGAAAGAAGAGGTATATAAAACATTAAGTCAATATCCATGAATAAATGCTGATTTTTATGTGACCTTAATATTGAGATGTTGAGTGCATGTCTGATAGTGTACCTTTCCATGCATAAGCATCTATGCTTACCCTACACAAAGCATTTGTGCTAAGAACTTGAGGCTTTTACTATTAGTGTTCTATTTTTCAAGGAAATCTTAATAATCATTTTCAAGCACATATAGTTTTAGGGGGAACTTACACATTTGTATATGTGTCTTAAAATAAAAATCATTTTTCTTGGCTTTTTTAATTTGACTGATAAAGCCCTAAAAGTTCAAGGTGTCAAGAAACTCCTTCCTCTGCATGTCCCTATGGACTCTATCCCTTGTCTGTACTAATGAGAATCTAAAAGAAAAGAAACAGGTCTGAAACTGGGATATTATTATTATTACTAGATCCTTAATATGGGATTACGACTTTTTAGGAGGTTATAAATTGAGAGTTGCATTAAAAGGGAAGTAGAATAGTGTTTACACGACCATCTTTACTGCCTGGGATATGAAGGTTCCATTGATGGAAAAATTGACTCAAGCAAACATTCAAGGCACTGACTTTAATTTTTTGTTAATTCTAACTTTCTGTGATTTATGGCTCCTTTGTCTTTGAATTTTCCTTCCTCCTCCTTTTCAATACCTAGTGATCCCCTGCCATGTGCCAGATATTGTGCTAGGTGGTGTTGACATAAGCCATGACCCATGCCCTTAAGAATGTGCACTTTTTTGGAGGGACAGACAAGTAAGTTGATGTAGACCATGTATTGTGCAAAGGGTCAGGTTGGAGAGGTTGTGGGTACTCTTGGGGCACAGAAGAGTGGCAGCTAACTCCATTTGGGGGAAGGTTGGTGAAGTTCTTTAGAAGACAGGATGCCACAGTTGAGTTTTGAAAAATGAGTAGGAACTAGCTAGAGTAGGGCGGCCTAACTTGGCATCTACTGATTCCTAAAGAGTCCCTGGATAAAGTTCAGTGGGTCTGTGACCTTGGATGGGGAAAAAAAGATTATACCTTTATTTTCACTAATATTGAACCACAATTTACCATTTTCTTCAATTATAACTGTAGGAAACAAACCACAGTAATATTAACAGTACCAGTGACAATGTCAGCAATAGAAGTCACAGCTATTTTCATATCACAGCCATTTCATGTATTGTTGTAGGTAATCTCAAAATATCTCATTCTTATCAATACCTTAAAATTATAGTTTTGGACCCATCACTGGAACTATCAACATGTTAATAAAAAGTATATGCATCACATAAAAATTAGTTTCAATATTTAATTGATTTTAATATTTTGATAACTGAATTTCAATATAAATTGATTTCCTTTGTAATTCTATATATTTTATTTTACACCTTTAAGAGCATTATTCTGAGAAGGGGTCTGTAGGCTTTAGGTCTATCGCAGATTGGCAGTGGCACAGAAAAGGTTAAGAACCCCTGAATGGGTGAGAAGGTTGGGGGAAGGAGCCGTGCTTATTTCAGGAAGAAGAAAAGTGTATGCTTGACTTTAAGGACTTCATCTTGATGCTTCAAATTATAAACAATGTTTCTTTCAAAGCAAATGTTGGTAGATATGAAGGCTAAATACATGCACAATGGTTTTATGAAATACTGTGAAATATAGTGAATAATATATACACACTATGTTTTCGTAGGGACATGTTTCTGGGGAGCAAACCTATTGATTAGGCATATTAATAACTCACAGAATTTCCGAGCATAACAAAGAAGGTCTGTCATGACATTAGATTCTGCAGCTAGTTGTGGTGTGATAAATGCCAAACAAAGATTCCTGAAATACTTCTTTGCATGAGTAGAATGCTAATGATCAATTAAGATCAACTAACATTTGCCTTATATGCATGTTAGTGGTTGTAACAGGTGCTGGAAATACAGGATATGTTAAAATTGTATCAGATATTAATAGGCAGCAATAGGCAGCTTTGGAAAGAGCACTTTGCAAAGGAGCCCACAGCCTCAGGTCCCGGCCAAGTCTGGCACTAATACCTGTGTCACATTGTGCATGTTTATTATCGGCAAAATGAAATAATGACTCTTGCTCTAACTTGTCTCATAAGTTTGCTCTAAGGATCAAATGAGTATGTCAAGATGCTTAGAAAGGCTTGAAATATAATACATATATTATTTCACAGAACTAACAGTGAAATAGCAATATCATATTTTATATTATAAATATAGAAACAATAGTGGAATATTTCTATACTTACATTATAAAATATATTGAATGTAAAACCTATTAGGAAAATGAGATTGAAAAATATATCATTATGTATAAAACATAAAAGGAAAATAAAGCATATGAATATATCTATAACTTAGAGGTTAAATTCCTGCAGGACTGAAGACTTCGAAGCTTGTTATCTAAGTCACTAGGCTATTCCATAATAAAATCATTTCCCTATGGGTGGCAACAAGCTTTCAAATATGACCTGTAGGAACAGTAGCACAAGACAGCAATGAATTTATGTATGTGCTATTCAGATTTAGTGGCACTAAGATCACAAGAAAGCACATTTAATTAGTGGAGTGCATTCAATTCTAAAATTTAGATCACTTTCTCCAAATAAGCTTGTTCTTCAGAGAAATCATGCAAGTACATGTTGACAAATATTGCAAACAATGAGAGAAAGACACCAATCTCAGGTTTTTTTTTTTTCTAAAAAAAAATCTACTCTTTTTAATTATGCTTTTCATTATAACCTAGCAGAGAAGGGTTTAAGTACCAGCCTGAGTCTTGCATTCTCTAGGTCAATGTTGAAAGTTTATTTCTACAGTAAAATACACCTTTCACATTCTGGGTGTTGCCATATAAATCAAACAAAGAGAACTACATTCCAATTCTCTCCATTACCACAGAAGCATACAAGCTACTAACCAGAACAGTCTTCCATTTTTAGCTTGAAGTGTTTTTCAACCTCAAGTATGCTTAGAAACATTCTTAAGCCAAGGCTACTGTGATTATACCTATTAGACTTTTATTCTATATAAATTATTGAGCCAAATGGAGTCCAAAACACTGACCCTTGACTGCCAATTGGAATAATCCTTAACCCTCAATCATTTGCTAAAGGAGACAAATGAGCTAGAATTGAGTTCTGAAACTACCACCTCTGAATAAAAAGAAAAAAAAAACAGGAAAGCTTAATATGCATCTGGGAAAGACACAGTTAATGCAAATGATGCAGAAATGTGGGGGATTGCTCTAACCTGCTTACGTTCATTGCTTCCCCAATACAGATACCTGCATAGAGACACACAGATATACGTTTATTAACACACACGGGTGGACCAGACTGACTAAACATTCTAAAATGAGGAGAAGCAAAACCCAATGAATTCTCCCCACATCTTAGACAGTGCATACACACCCACTAACACACACCCTCGACAAGCATAAGGTCCAGAAGTCCTTAAACAATTTTGTAGGCATCAATTACAAACTAATGAAATCTGCTGAGGGCAGAAACACAAAGACACACAGTTCAAGATTTAAGCACTGAAGCAAGGAAGACACCTGATAGAAGTAGTCAGAAGTTCCAAAAACTGAAAAGATTGTATCCTGGACACCAAAGCAGATGTTTAGGGACCACAGCAAATGATTTCAAACACTGTTGTCCCTACCACCCAAATTTCTGAAAATTAAAGCTGAATGGTTCCAGCCCCCTCTAAGGCTATCTGTTCTTGCAGCGGACAAAGCTTTGGTCAATGGTCTTGTTCTTGCTGGCTGGCTTTAAAGGTTTTGCTCCTAAATAAGTACTCAGCATCCTTTCTTTTCCCATTCTCTCTGGTAAGGGATGCTCTGTTCACTTCATGTGAGCTTAGATTTATAAGGTACTGAGAAATAAGAGTATGAGGCCCTTCAAATTGTCCTCCTAGATTTAACACTGCAAGCGAGGCAGCACAGGGTCTTGGCATTGGTTAACACATTTGTGCCACAAAGCCGTTTGTTACTAGAACCAATCTGATGCCCCAGTGAAAGCAAGAACAAAGCAACAACTAAAGAAGTCTTCCCCATACCACCCCCACCCCACAAATAGCCCATTCCTTCTGAGTCCAGGCTCCTGAACGCACATAAAACTGTCGCCTTGACGGGGGAGAGCGGCACTCGTTCCTCAGCTGGAGGCTGCATTCAGAAAGAATGGATTTTTCCTGGCTTCTGATAGTCTGAGACATTGTGACTGTCACTCAGAGGGTGAGCAAAACAGGGTTCAAAATAGAGAATGAGATGCATAGAGATGCAGGAGAGTGGGAAAAGCACATGGAGTAGGGAGAGGGAAGAGACTGATATCAAATCCTACCCTGGAATGGGCCACTCTCCCTGTGCCTGTAAGAGGCTCCTAGGCTATTTTAATTATAAATATTTATATCCGTGGAAGCAAATTCAGAAGGATTTATGCCTCAGGGGAGTGCAGATCAATAGATCTGAGCAAACCTCATCTCCAGGCTGACTACTTAACACTGTTATCACCGATTAGGGCTGCATGGCCCTCTGGGAGGGTGTTGGTTCTCCTCTAGTCCTCTGTAGGTCCACCCCATTCTTGGCCCCAAGAGGAAATCAATAACAGGATGCAGGGATCGATACTCAGGACATCTGCTTGGCTGCAGTGGCTCACCTTAGGAGCGGAGTTTGGTTAGCCTTCATCTATCCCGCAAACTCCCATTCTTCCCTCACAACCCCTTGGTCTGCCCAGATCTGCTGGGGGCATCCCGGTTTTGATCTTTAGCTCATTAACTGAAATCAGCAGAAATGCTGCTGACTCTCTCAAGTAAGGAAAGACAGACTTGGTTATCATTTGCCTCACTTTCTAAAAAGTGAGGAAACTTACCAGACCTCAAGGATTGGGTCATTTCCTGCCTCGTGGCCCGTGGCGTGCTTCCTGCTGCCGAATGTCTGGCTACCAAGTACTGTCGGAGCGGCTGGAGCTGGCTGGATTTCTGTTCCAGGTCTGCCTGCGTCTCCCTATGCTTGGTCTGCAGTTGATAGATCCTCTGCTCCTGAAGCATCCAGCTATTGACCCGCCCAGGGAAAGAAAGAAAAAAATGGAAAAAAAATCAATTAATACTAAACAGCTTAACAAAACCCTGCATAGCACAGGCCTGAAGCTTACAGGATAGGAGTTGGTGTGATCTCAGTGGCAACAGTGGTTGTGGGGACAGGCGCAGCCAGCTAGAAAAGCTGATGTTCCAGGGACAGGAAGCCAATATGGTAGGCGTGATCACACACACACGCACACGGACACGTGCGTGCGCGCGCGCACACACACACACACACACACGGCAGCTTGCTCTGACATGCCCTATCAGGGAGCAAAGAGGATAGTGCAGGCACATGTTCATTGTGAGCTGATGGAAGGAGACCCATTTACCAAAACAGAAGAAGGACTGAAACCAAACTCATAGAAAGGGTGGGTATTTTTCTATTTTTCTGGGTTCTTGAGGGGTCGGGGGGTGGAAGAGGAGTGGAAGGAGAGGAGACATTGTTTTGTTCTGAGAAGGTAATACCATATACGTATTGCAGGAGTGTTACCCCAGGCATTTCTTCGTGCGTCTCCCTAGCACACACCACATGCAGACACACGTGAAGCTTTTTTTTTAAGGGGGGGGTAAAAATGGGGGAGCACCATACCTCAGCTGCCAGGCCCTTTCTCTTCTGCAGGAGCTGGCTTTGAAGGCTCAGGATTTTGCATCTCGCTGTTCCAGCTGTAAAGAGTTTACATAGGGAGGGAGCAAGGAAGGATCATGAATGTCAACCAATGAGCAATTAGCATGACAAGACTAAAGTATTGATCCACTAAAGCTCACTGCACCGCTGTAGCCCCAGAGGTAGAGCGGCTCCCCTGTCACTAACTCCGACAGTGCATCTCAGAAGCCTGTAATGTAGGGCTGCTTACTTTTGTAGCCCTGGTCTCGTCTCGGGTCAAGGGAGGGTGGCACCATCATCTGCAGCCCTCAGGGGTCCCCATCCCTGGGCAGAAA